CTCCCAGAATTCCTCAGCCAGCCATGGAATTCCCTGGCTGGGGAATTCTGGGAGTTGAAGTCCACTCATCTTAAAGTGGCCAAGTTTGGACAACACTGATCTAGAGTGTAGGAGCCCTTGCGAAGTCATGCAAGGTAATTCTGGGAACGCTATCAATTCTTCTCTTTTATTGTGGCTCAAGTGCAGCAGTACTTGTAACAGCAGTAGTTTAATATTTTTCATTTGCCTCCTTTCTCCCAACCTGCACCAAAGGCTTTCATATCCATTAAAAAAAATCCAGCTCTCATTTCAAGAGCAGAACTGCTTAACCTCTCCTTTTCCATGTTATTCCAATGTTATATCTCAAAGCCACCTTTTTTCCTCTGTGTTCCTGCACCTGGGAATAAAAATTAGTGGAGTCAACATTACTTCTGAATCAATGCCTGTGATTGTGGTGTTAGTTTCCTAATAACATACTTGTGGGATTGGAAGGAAAGAAGTGGGGGGAAATGTCAAGAGAGAGGCACAAACAAGCATTCTGATTCTTTCAAAGGAGGAAAGGAGATGTGGGGAAGAAGCATTTGTCACACCAGGTCTACCTTTTTGCATGTGTCTGTTTTGGTGCCTTTGAGTCAGTGTTGACTTCTGGTGACTGTCTGAACTAGGCCCTGCAGTTTTCTTGGCAAGATTTTGGAAGCAGTTTGCCTGTTGCCTCCTTCCCAGAGCTGAGAGAGAGAGGGACTGGCCCAAGGTCACCCAGCTGGCTTCGTGCCTAAGGCGGGACTAGAACTTATGTCTCCTGGCTTTCTAGCCTGATGCCTTCACCATCACACCAAACCGGCTCTCTTTTACAGCAAAAAAAATTACAACAGTGTTGCTGTACCTTTCTTTTAAAATGACCACAACATGACTAGGCATGCACTGCTGTGTATTAAAAAAATATATGTCCCCCCACACACTGACTTACTGACAAACAATGCATGTGATCAGAAATTGGAGGACAATTGAATCATAGATGCCCCCGTGAAAATCACTGTCACTATTATAGAACCAATGTG